AAGCTTGGAGAGACTTGGATGACCCAAACGACTGTGGATTAGTTCAGGAGACTATGTGAGAGAGCACGCCACTGGAGAATGAGGCGCAATCAGATAGTAGAGATCTCGTGACTCACGGCCTACTCCAATCGTCTTCCCTGTACCTGAATCCTACATAAAGACAAATTGGAAAGGCAACAATGCATGAAAGAGAATGGATCAACTGGCTAATATATATTAAATTGAAAGGCATGTCAGGTATATGATAAACAGATGTCAAAGTCAAATAGGGTGTTGGGCTGGCTTGCCCAATACCATGGGTAGAGGCCTTGGTGCCATCAGCAAGAGTAACAGAAGGTAGATTATCAAAATAAGTAAGTGAGATAAAGAGATCCTTATTACCACAAAAGTGAGTAGTAGCACCTGTGTCTATTATCCAGGGTCTAAGAGATGATCGAGAAAGACAAGCAACATGATTACTAGTATCTTTGGCAGGAGTCTGGGAAGAAACCTTTTCAAGAAGAGCTTCATCATCTGCACTCGAAATAGTTACTGATCTAATAAAGGATGGTGAAGCATCGGTCTGAGCAAAGGTGACAGTTGGTGGCTTCAAGTGAAGGTACTTCCTGTAGCAACATTCTTCAAGTGTCCGAGGTTCTGGCAATAATTGCATTGGGGCCTTTATCCGCGATCGCGTCCACGATTCCAATTGGAATCGTTAGCACGAGAGATGAGGGCAAGACCGCTTTTGATCACCTTAATTGAGCCCTCCATTACAAATCAGATGTAAGAACCTGCAAAGATAAAAGAAAAGTGCAGATAACAGCAAGAAAGCAGGAGATCGTGCCAAAACGGCACAAAACGGTGTCCAAACTGCGAATTTTTCCCGATATTTCCCTAACGGATGAGACCCACAACGAATGGAGACCAGATCTAGAAAGAGGAAGAGAAGAAGAACAAGACGGTGGTGGTCCGGCCCGAAAAGGTGGTCAGATGCTCTCTCACGAGTTGGAAAAAACTTCCACCAGCGTGTTGGAGCTCCGATGGCGACGCCGCTTGGACGACTGGATGCTTCTCCTCGAGGCGGTTATGATCGTGTGGTTGTTTGCCGGAAAAGTGCTTCGTCGACTGTGAACAGTGGCGGATGGAGGTTTCTGGCGATGATCGGTGACTTTTTCTGACGATCTGAGGTTAAGGAACTGAAAGAGAGTTTCCAGTATGATGCACGACATAGACGATTTGCTGGAATGACGCCGACAAGAATTTTTCTTCAGAAGTGACGTTTCCCAAAACACAAGCTCCGGTACCAACTTAAAGAATATGGAAAGTATGAATATTGTATTGTATTGAATTGTGTATAATTGTATAAGAGAGCTTTCTATTTATAGAGGCTAATTGACTTAATGGGCTATGCCCAAAGAAGCTTCTAGAACTAAAAAATAAAACAATAATAGTACGATGTTATTTCCAACAAGAATACATTTGCTAGAGACAAACCTAATTCCAAACTAGACCTTAGGTGGCAGTTTAAACCATAGATAGCATTGTTTATTTTGCAAACCAAGGATTTATCTAACAGCTTCGAAGCACATAAGTTGTTGTATATAGGCTTCCTCTTCAAGTAGTCCATTAAAAAAAACATTATTAACATCTGGTTGCTGGATGGATCGCCTATTGGTGATGGCTAAAGTAAGAATGAGCTGAATGGTCACTGGTTTAACTGCAGCGAAAAATATTTCAGTATTGTAAAACCATGATTGTTGGGGAAATCCTTTGGAGACTAGGCGGGTCTTGTATTTATTGATAGAGCCATGAGGATTCTCTTATGCCTGAAAAATCCATTTGCAACCAATAGCATGCGATCAAATGGAAGTGAAACGAAAGACCAAGTATTGTTACCAATTAGGGCATCAAATTCAGCTTGCATAGCAGTTTTTTCAGTGAGTAGCTAGGGCCTGTTTAATTGAGTTGGGATCCATATCAGTGAGGAGTAAGGTCAGACCTAGACTAGGCTTAACAATGCCATACTTAAACCAAGTTTGCATCGGGTGAATGGACTTAGAAGAGGATGGTAACGAGGAAACAACTAGGTGGGGAGAAGTTGGATCAGAAGAGGAAGAAGGAGAATAATAGATACCAAAGCATTTGCCTACGGTACGACGGAAACTGCGGTACGATGGAAACTGCAGTGTGCAGTGGTGCCAGATTTTGGAAGGGATTTGGTGAGGAACCCACGGCAGGACCGAATCAAGCTTTGATACCATGTTGAAGCTAGAGATTAATGCGAAAATGAAAGAAACTAAGGAAATGTTTAGAGCAGCAGAGAGAAATTTGTGTTTTTTGAAAGTGAGTTTTTTGTTATTTTCTTCTAAAGTCAGTTCTAAGATCATGAATTTATACATGTATCATAATTAGTTGATACAGTTAGAGATGACTGTCTTAACTGAATGCAATGGCATTTACTAACAGAAGTTATTACAACTATTTTACAAACTGTTATATCTAACAGCTCTGAAAACTAGCTATGTAATTAACTCTGCTAGAAACAGAACACAACTATATTCTAACACAAAATAACTTTCATTGGAGTTTCATACTCTATACTCAAGTATATCTTGGTATCCCCCTTCATCATCGCAGAATTAACAGGAGGTCCTTCGCGCACATCTCAGACAAGGTCCAGAAACGTCTGAGTAACTGGAACGCAATTGTTTTATCTATGGTTAGGAGAGTCACTTTAGCGAACTCCGTGTTGGAAGCTCTTCCCACGTATTCCACTCAGTCCTCTTTCCTCCCCCTGTCTGCGTGTGATGAGCTGGAAAAACATACTCGCAGATTTGTTTGGGGCTCAACCCCGACGCACAGAAGGATCCACTTGGTGCATTGGGAGAAGTTGTGCTCTCCAAAAAATAAGGGTGGCCTAAACTTGAAACACATGAGAGAATTCAACAAGGCGTTGGTTATGAAAGTAGGGCACGGTCTACTAACCAAAAGAGACACTCTTTGGTCCCAAGTTATTCGGAATAAATATAACGTTGGGAATGAGTTAATTCCAACTATCACTCGGAGGAATGGGGTGTCTAACTTGTGGATTGGCATTTGCAAGACCTGGGAGAGCATCACCACTGGGTCCAGGATACTGGTGGGAGATGGGAGGACGACAAACTTCTGGCTCGAAAAATGGCTCCCTCAAACTGACAAGTTGATCAATTTGGCTTTAGAATCGATCCCTGATGAGGTGAAGGACTGAAAGGTGGCAGATTATACCACAGGAATGGGTGACTGGAACTGGGCCCTGATCCAAAACATTCTCCCTGAACACATCTTGAAACTTCTGGCTGGGACAGTTCCTCCAATGCCTGACGACGGGGATGATTGTGTAACCTGGGATCTCACTAATGATGGTGTTTTCTCAGTTAAATCTGCATACAATCTAATCAGTCATAAGACACTGGGAAACAATCCGGTCAATTGGTCCCTGGCTTAGGACTGGGATGGCCCTCAAAAAATCAAGATTTTTCTCTGGCTCTTGATTGGCAGCAACCTGATGACGAACAATATGAGAGTTAGAAGACTCATATCACCCTCAGCTTCTTGTCCTAGATGCAGCCACCATACTGAAGATATCATTCACATTTTTAGAGACTGTCATTGGGCTCGCGAAACCTGGTGCAAGCTTTTGGATGGGAGAATGAATTCTTTCTTTTTCGATACCAATCTACCCGTTTGGCTGGAATCCAACCTCTAGTGGAAGGGGGCACCCTCTCAACGGCGCCACTGGTCCAGACTCTTTGGGGTTGTGTGTTGGTTTCTCTGGCACGAAAGGAATAATCTGGTCTTTAATGGAAGAATTGATGCAAATAATGCTACTGCCATTCGTGCTCTTGGTTTCTTAGCGACTATGGACCAATCAGACGCCATCCTTCAGAAGGCTGGCATTCACCCTAGCCCCAAGTGGGAAGTCCTAATCAGGTGGAACTTTCCAAGTCAAGGCTTTATGAAGATCAACACTGACGGTGCGTACAAGCAGAATAGCAGGATGATGGGATGTGGAGGTGTCTGTCGTGATGACGCGGGTAGATGAATTCTGGGCTTCACTAAGAACATTGGGACTGGAAACTCTTTGATGGCGGAGCTATGGGGGTCCCTCATTGGGTTGGAGATAGCCTGGCCTTACGGGATGAGGAACATTTGTCTTGAAGGAGACTCGGTTACTGCTATTGGCCTCATTAGGTCTAGAGCTGATAGGAATAAACCCTTTTACAACCTTGTCAACAAAATTCGGAAGCTTATATGGAGGGACTGGGTGGTGATGATCTCTCACGTCCACAGAGAGGGAAACCAAGTTGCTGATAAACTCGCGAATATGGCTTTTAGTCAAGGTAGGGGAGTGCAGGTTCTGCATAACCCTCCCAAAGAATGTTGGATGCTGGTCCAGAATGACTTAAGGGGTGTTACTACACCCAGAATGATCCGTCTCTAATGTTTCTTGTTTTATTTCCTTGTATTTCCAAAAAAAAAAAAAAAAAGACATCCCATATAACCATCTTCATCTATTGTAACTTACAAAATCCTTGGGCCATAGGCCGAAACTCGGCTTCTGCACTTGATCAAATGATAATATTTTGTTTCTTGCTCCTCCAGGTAAATAAATTTCCACCCGAGAACATACATTTACCAAATATTGACCTCCTATCAGTAACTGATCCTGCATAGCTAAAATTTGTAAATACTCCTATGAATGGATTTCCACCTCTATTGAATTATGATCCCCTGTCTGGTTTAGCTTTAAGATTCTATATGAACTTGTCCGTTACCTGTAAGAGTCTCACCCCTGGTCATGTATAAACTAGTTAACAACACTAAAATGTATCCTAGTTAACAAAGGAACCAAAGGGTTCTTGCATGAAGGAGTGTAATGTGGAGGGGTGTAATATAAAATCGTTCATGTCTCTTCACCTAATAGTTTAAACTTTTGGGATATTATCTAAATGGTAAATAACATTCCCTTTTTAGTGCAGCCAAACTGAAGAAAATGCTTTGTCTGATGTTGAAGTTCTGAGGTTAGCAGCTGGGGTAGAATCAAATTCGGTACATCCAGTTGGGAGAGCGATTGTAGATGCTGCTCAGGCAGTTAATTGTCATAATGCTAAGGTTCTCATTTTATTTCTTGATTGTTGGAAAGTATCTCCTATTTATGCCTATTTATTAGGGTCTGTATGCGGTAAATAATTAGGATTTTATTGGTATTATTTTCCTTAATTACTTAATTTTTTAGTTTTCTTATCCTAATATTAAAGATTGTAAATCATGCATAAATAGAACGTTCTTTAACAAATCTCTCTTCTACATTGATGATTTGAATTCTGTTCTCCTCATTTGGGGTTATCTCATTGCTCTATCTGTTCTTCCCTTGTTGACATAAACATTACATGATCTGTTTGGCAATTGAGTCGCTATCTTTTTCTAGAAGATATGTCAATAGGTACTACACTTTGTATTATATTAGCTACCCGTTTACAGTCAGCATATGCTATCTATAGGAGACTGACTGATTAGTAGACACTGTATATAAAATTTTGGTAGTCTGGTATACTAACGGGCTCTGTAGAATAGAACCTATTGGTAGTATGTTCGTCAGCTTGTCCTAAAATTGATGAAGATACAACTTTCAGCTTAAGCCTTACCACAAAATTTGCAGGTAGCAGATGGAACATTCCTGGAAGAACCTGGATCTGGTGCAGTAGCAACCATTGATAATAAAAAGGTTTCTGTTGGGACATTGGAATGGATTACCAGGTAAATTGAGTATTTAATTCTTTGATCATGGTTCAAAGATACACAGGATAAGATGTACCTCAAAAATTTTTAATATTTCTTATTAATTTATTATAAAGGATGTATTTCTTTCAATTAATTGCAGCGTATTGGTGTTACTTGCTTTAGACCTAATCCACTTCATTAAGAGACTGGAGGGTAGCTTTGATTGTTCTCTAACAAACATTTTTTTTTTTCTTTTAGAATTTTTTTTTTTTTTATTAATTTCAAAGCTTCAGCAGGTAATTTCCTTTGTGCAGGTGTGGAGTTAACAACAGTATACATCAAGAAATGGATGAGTGTAAAAACCAATCCTTTGTCTATGTTGGGGTCAATGAGACTCTAGCTGGCCTAATTTATTTTGAAGATGAGATAAGGGAAGATGCAAGACACGTTATTGACACATTGTCTAAGCAAGATATTGGTGTATACATGCTGTCTGGAGACAAAAGGAATGCGGCTGAGTATGTTGCATCCCATGTTGGAATTCCCAAAGAGAAGGTAAATGGTTTTCAACGTACAACATAATATTTCATAAATAAGAGGGCGGGTAAGGTTGGGCTTTTGGTGGTTCCATACTAAGAATTTCTAGATAACTGTTAGGAAAACAGCAGTCTACATATGGTCATTGTCATGTTGAAGATGTTACTCCATTGAAGAGGGGCTGAGAGCTGAGGGTTGCTTTTTCTCCATAATCAAATCTCCCAGCTGTAAATGATTATCTTCAGCAGCATTGAGTCATCAATTGGTTGATTAGTGAGAAATTTTTACTTGTTTATTTTTTATGATAGAATAAAAGGTGGAGCTAAACACTTTGTAAATGTTTGTGACCCTCCCATGCTTAAACACGTGAAGTTTTATATTTATTTATTTATTTTGGTAAAAGAAGTTTTATATTTTGTATATCAGAAACTTGCAACTATTTGAAGTAGACTAATGGCAGGCATTTGAGTTAAATTTACCCTGCGAAACCCTGTGGGACTAATGTTTTAGTAATATATTCCCACCTTGTGACATATCAGTCTTTTGCTGACTATTTGGGGTTTGGATATATGTATTGGGTCTGAATCCTTATGCACCAAAAATACTTCTTTGCTAGTTAATATTTTTTAAGTACATGGAATTTTTTTTTGGCTATTCGAAGTCTTATTTTGCCAATTGCAGGTGATATCTGAAGTGAAACCAGACGAGAAAAAGAAGTTCATAAATGAACTACAGAAAGATAATAACATTATAGCTATGGTTGGTGATGGAATTAATGATGCAGCTGCTCTGGCTTCTTCACATATTGGTATTGCACTAGGTGGAGGTGTTGGAGCTGCCAGTGAGGTATCTTCTATTGTATTGATGCGCAACCAGCTCTCACAGGTAATTGTTATTTGCCTTTTTTTAGTTCTAGTTTGTTTAAAGCTTCCATATATTTTCTCAAAAACTATCTTGCTTCTATTTTCTTCAATTTATTGCATCATTTTATTATTTGACTTCATCTGTCAACCATAAAATTTATGTTTAAAAGAAATATACTGTTTGTGAAAATGGCGTGTGAAAAAGCATTTCCTCAGCACTGAAAAGTAGGGCATTTTTCATGTTTCTTCTCCATGTGCATGCCCTTTTGCTTATACAGTTATTCACAGGTGGTGGTTCATGATGATAGGTGAGTGCCATGTACATGTACCTCCCCAAAATTTTAAAAATTCTTAGCGATACATGAGGAAAAAGATTTGGACCCCAAATGTGATGTAAAAATTTCATAAGCCTCCATCTTTTAATCTCCCTTACATTTTTTGGGTGTAGGTTTCATTTCTCAATTCCCATAGACTAGACAATGAGAACCTCACTCTAGGCCCAGTTATTTCACTTTCATTAAGCCCACTTTAGCTTCTTATTTGAAAAAAAGATTATGGTTGTAAACTTTTAAATTTTAGATATATGATATGATACTTTTAAGTATCAATACGTTGTAAATTCTATGCTGTTGTATTTGGTTGGAGTGCTCGTATTTTTAATGAGTTTTTTTTGGCACATCATTTGATTTGGGATAAGATTAAGCGTTTGGCATCTATTTGTTGCAAAGCATGTGGCGGCCTTTTTAATGGGGTTTCATTGACAGACATATAAAGGGACTTAGCTTTGTTCCACTGATTTTTCTTAGTTGTTTTCTTTGTTCTTTTGCTTAGGAAGATTCCTTATCCCCCCCCCCCCTTGCCCTTTGTGATTTTTCTCCTTAACTTGAAAAAAAAAAAAAACAATTGTATGTCATTGTAAATTAATTTACTTGTTGAGCAATCTCCCTGTCCCCCCATAATTTTTGTTCAACCTCCACCACTAGGAAGACGGCTTGCATAAAATACATCTATGTAGTCCCTGACCCTTTTATTAAACTTATTTTTTGTCTCTTTCTGTTTCTATTCTAGAAAACCTACATGTCTATGTATTTTTCCATGAATGCGCAAAATAATATAGCAACCTTTATATTTCATAGTGGATGTCCTACTGAAGTCTATCTTTCTATTTTCCCAACCAATCGTGTACTAGGAACCACGTAACTAAAAGCTAATAGCGTTTACTTTTGTTAGGATATTATGTGCACTCAGAATACTTTTTGCATGTTGATTCAGATAATGGAATGTATATTAGGTAATTAATCTGTTTATTTCTATTCAGCTACTAGATGCTTTGGAGCTTAGCAGGCTAACCATGAATACCGTGAAACAAAATCTTTGGTGGGCTTTCATATACAACATTGTAAGTTCTTCTGCTGTCCAAATATATAAATTGATCAGGACAGTTATATTATAAAAGGGATTGTGGTGAAGTATAACTAACACTTTTCCTTGTGCTTATTTTACTGCCGTATTTGTCATTTGATAGAAATTGATTTTTGTTTTTCCCTGAAAAATTACTTGTTGAAACGTGAAAAATGTTCTGAGCATTTTTTTATATTATGATAGATCTATAAAAGAACCTTTAATTGAAGGAATACAACGCTCCATCTCAAAATATCATGAGTATACCATCCTTTAACGACTAACATCCAATACCACCATATTACTGCTAACAAAAATGTTATCAGCAACTAGCGCAAATGGTCATAATCAGTCTTCTCCTTTGCCTGCTTGCTACTCTGTCCATTGTGCATTTCATTGTGTGTATGCATCAAGATAACTGTATAAACCTTATCATTTTTCAAGTTGACATTTCAGGTAATAAAGAATTCTGATTGTCATGTTATTTTCTTTTTCTTATTTGATGAATAACAAGACTATAAGTTAATATTACTTAAACATATCCACAACTTTTAGGCATAACTGAGCAACTAAATTAAATGTGATTTACCCTTCTTTACTCTGTTAGCATTTCCCGGCCAACATGACGCTGATTTTGTAAGGAACTAGGAGTTCGGTCATATTGGATTGTTCATTTCTTTCACCAAATTCAACTTAGTTTCGGACTGATTGAACCTTTTTTTTTTCAATGTTTCTATTCATAGTTTTGATTTTGGAATCTCTTGACTCAAAAGTATTTTATAATTTTCTCGTTATTCAACTGTCATGGTGTAATTATACTTCTATCTTTATACAGGTAGGGATTCCAATCGCAGCTGGAGTTTTATTTCCTATAAATGGGACTATGCTGACTCCATCAATTGCAGGGGCTCTCATGGGTTTCAGTTCCATTGGCGTAATGACTAACTCGTTACTTTTGAGATTCAAATTTTCCTCAAAGCAGAAAC